TAAAATTAATAACTATATAAAAATTGTAAAAATAATTAAAATAATTCATCAAAATAGTATATGAAAGGAAATTAAATAAATATAAGCAAACATATATGAGGAGACGGAATATTCATAGAAGCTACTCTTATACAAGGCACTACAAAGTATAAGACACTGCTGTATTGCCTTGTACATTTAAGACCCTGCAGTTCAGTATATATAAGATACTCTACAGCACCATCTCTAGAGCATATCCATTATTCGTCATTCTATAAACTCGACTTTCGCTTCTTTTTGTTAGCGGTCTGCACATTTCTGCCAACAATTATGCATATTTACAAATGTTAATTGCCAGCGGGGCACACACACACACAATGTTGTGTTGTACACGTATTTACAACACGGCCAACAGCCACGCCCCCTGCTGTCGCCCACGCCCACGCCCAGAGGCCTGCCAATTAACAGCATTATTGACTGTGACCCGACCAACGACTCTCGAAGCCAAACCAAGCAACCACTTTGAAATGCTAATGAAATTGGCTTTTAAAGTGAGTCGGAGCTGAGGGGGAAATTGTGTAAAATAAATGAAAGAAAAATGTGAATTCAGCGTTTGATTTCGATCAAAAGTCCCTGTCAAGACTCGTCCTGCGCGGTTGACTAATTGATAAATTGATTAAATTGCATGGCTTAATTGCATGGCAATCGCATTGTCTTTCCACACACGACAACGAGCAGGAGCAGCAGCAGCAGCAGGAGCCGGCAGCAAATGAATTTTCACATTTCATTTTCGAGGCTCCACTTTGGCTTTGGCACGCCGCCGGCAAATTGCATTTGCTTTGTTCGCCTTCATTTTGGTCAACTGTTTCGTTAATGCGACTTATTTGTCAGCATTTCAAGTGTCGCTCACATCAGCCCCAGCAAGCTCGGCATCTGCCCCGCAGTGATCCGTTTTGGATTGAGTTTGCTTTTGTGTCTGGACAGCGCTCAATTTTCCCCTACGTCAGTTTTAACGAAGCGCCTGCGGATGAGCTACTGATTTGGCTATTGTCTACTTTAGTTACAGTTGAGCGACGAACACGTAGGTTAACTGTAAACAAGTGAGATGCCAGTTGAGGGACGTGAGGTGTAGTGAATAGGGGAGAGCTAACTTTAAAGTTAACTATGCATGTAGTTTCTATGACCTGAGATGAAATTGAGATATAATCAGAGAAAATCTTATCCAGGATAGAGAGTGGACTAAATTTGCATTCCGCTTAACTTGAACTGGAGTCAACAAAATTTAAAGCACATGCTGTACTCTCTAGAGAGTGATATAGTAAACAGAGATTGAAATTTATTTCATAAAGTTGTTAAAGGTTCGACTTTTCCTTCCAAAGTAACGCTTACGAATGTCGCACAAAAATCAATGAATTTCACGCCCTCTAGAGAGTAGACTTTGGTTAAATAAATAGCATATGCTAGTAAAGCGCCTAACTACACTCACTAAACACCCTCTAATCACAGCAACCCTATCAGTAAGCCTTCGATAAATAGCGAAAGGCCCTACCAAACACAACATCTAGTCAACCCCCACAATCTATGCATTACTCACTTTTATGATGCGCATTTTGCATTATCTGCGTAAGTGCCGTCCGGCTTATGTCCGCTCAGCACACTCACTTTCTCTAAACTCGGTCTTTTCGTTAACTAAGCGTTAAGTCCGAGCGAATCCCGTACAATAAAAAGCCTGAGCCCGGCGACTAAAGCGCATTAAAATGCCGACTGGCTGGGTAAGCGCTCGCACGGCTCTGGGAGTGGGAATTGGAACTGGAACTGGAGCTGGATTTGGAGTTGGAGTCTGGGAGAGATAGCGCTGGTCAGTGTCCAGTAATAGAGCTCGCTTCGCTTCCCCTTTCCAATTGTTGTCTCTGCTTCATCTTTTGCTCTTTTTTTGCGGTTTTGCTTTGATTTAATTTTGCTTTTACTGCTGCTGGTTGTTTGTCATTGTTCGCAGTTCGTATTCCCTTCCGCCCGGCCCATTGTCTGCACCCAATTTGTGAGCTTTGTTCAATTGGCTTTGGCCGCTACCACAGACCTCTCTCTCTGTATGTGTGTGTGTGTGCAGTGCTTTACACTCGACTCAGCACAGCTCAACTGTCGTTCATTCGTCAGCAAAATAAATCACCAAACGGAACGACAAGCACTTTAAAAATTTAGAACCTCCAGGGCCAGAAAATTTGCCGATGCCTGAAAGTAGGCAACGATAATTTAAAGCCCTGAAATCTAGTTAAATATTCAATTGGCTTAGTTCTGCGTAGTTGATTTGAATAGTTTATGGTTGCAAGTGGAGCATTTGGGCAGCAGCTTATAAAGATGGAAAGTTATAATGTTGCCCTGCCATAGGCAATGCACTTGATGTGTGGCATAGAGAGAGAGAGAGAGAGAGATGAAGGTTTCGCTATGGTAGAGCGAGGAGAGAGGTAGATTAAGAGATTTGGGATGTAGAGCAGAGTACATGGATATGAAATGTGGCATACCGGATAGCGAAGAACGAATAATGAATATTCTAATATGAGATATGGTGTATGGGAGAATATGAAATGAGGAATATGAAATACGATACATGGAATATGGAATAAAATATGAATTCGGGGAGTATGGAACATAGAGAACGAAATATGGACTATGCGAATATGGAATTAGGAATGTGAAACAAGATGAGATGTGGAATATGGAATATGGAATATGGAACATCGAGTATGGAAGTAATAACATAGCAGAATGTTGTAGTAGAATGTTGAACACAATATGAAATGTTAAACATATATGTAAGATGCTAAGTACGTGGAATATGATAATGGATCATAGAACATGATAAATGCTGAACATAGATGCAATAAATGATATAATATGTATAACATATTAAATATAAAGTACGTATTTCATTAAGTATAGGTCCTTAGGCATAGGTCTCATTGAATTTCTATTATAGTAAAGCAAATGCATTTGGCATTTAATATTTTCGTAGCTATTAATAACATAAATGTCTCATGGCGCACTTTTATTCTATCAAATAACGTTCAAGCAACCCTCGCAAACTACCGCCAATTTATCTGCCGAAGCGCTGCAGCTGGCTAACATTTCACAATTCAGGCTGCTGTCATTCAGATTCATAACCCAAACTGGAACCCACATATTTCCAGCGGAGACCCGCTCGTAATTCCATTAAACACATTCCCCAGCCCAAACCACAACGCGCCACAGTTGGACAGCCACTGCAGCACGGCGGCAGCCACACAATTGTGGTTTGACTATTGCATAAGAATGTTAGCAGAGCCAGAGCTGATGCTTGATGCCATTAACCCAGAGTTGGGTCTGCTATTTCGCTGCTTCCTCTTCAGCTCCTTCAATTTTTCCTACTCCTCCTCCTTCTTTCAACTCCAGCCAGGCGACTAGTTTATGCTGAACATATTTTATTGATTACATTTGCTGTTTGCCCAAGTTTGTGCAGACTCCGGCATACGTTGCGCTCGCTCAGTGTCTGCGTGTTCTTGCACAAGTTTATGAGATTTTTGTGCTGAGCATAGAGCCACACACAAAAGTCCCCCAAATCAGTGGAGCGGGAGTTGTTGTTGTTCACATTTAGGGGAATTGCATTGCTGTACGTGTGTGTGTGTGTGTGTGTGTCTGCATGAGTTATGTAAGCAAATAAATTGCTTATTTGTAGCGACAATTTGCGGTAATTTTGTGATTTGTGTATTTGGCTTCAATCTGGAAATGTTGTGCTGACATCATCTGTGGCCGCTCTCTGTGGGGTTGTTTCCTACTGCCTGCCCAAGCCACGCCCCGAGTCTTTATGGCTATTAATTAAACATGTATGTGTGTATGTATATGTATCGACTCTTCACCCACATCAAGTTCATATTTCATCAGACATTCTCCCCCCTCTCTCTCTCTCTCTCTCTCTATTTCCTTTGGAATCGCACTTTATTGACTGCCTGTGCGCAGGCACTAAACGTGTAATCCTTTTTTCAGCGCCTGCCATTTGCATATAGCATACGTGTAAGAGGCCCCACGCTGAGTGCCGTCTCTGATAGGCGCCCACTTGTATGCATATCGTTAGCAAATTGCAGGCTCAAAAATGCCCCGAAAAAAAAAACACAGAGTGAAAAAAAAAGCCAAAGTTGGAGCGAAAACATCAGGCAAAAGCCTCTTGCTTTTTTTGTGTGTGTGTGTGCACTGTAAGATAATACCCAGCCAATTTCCGTTAGCTGGTGCTGCCTTACGGCGGCTGGCAGGTAACGTGGCCAGCGCTGCTTGTGTCCCTTTTTGGCCCTGTGGCGCAATTCGTGCCTTTTGTATTTCCGTTTTGGAAATTAGAAGGCGCGCCCCGCGTTAAAGTTCTCTGTACAAATTTGTATAAAAGCTTAGCTACATTTGCTCTCTCTCTCGCTCTCTCTCTTTGGCTGTCTCTCTTTTTTTTTCCGCTTAACTCATTTGCATATTCGACACATTCCAAATTGACTTCCCCCGGCGCGCTTCAATGGCTGCCTTTGGGGAATTTAAGCCTTTTCCGGCTGGCATTTTATGAAAATAATTTTAAAATTGACATTAGCTTTGGCAGGCCTGGCCGGGCCCAGCTCTGTCCTGTGCGAGGTGTCCAAAAATGAAGCCATTAGCAGTCAAAGCCACTGCCGCACACAAAGCCCCCATCAATTGACTTGTGAACGGAGCTGCCCCAAAACCGCACGGCAAAAGGCGTTGATTGGACAGCAAAGCCCCAACAACTAGAAGAGCCCCACACACTCAATTACCCAAACTAGCTGACAAAATGTGTGCCAGCTCGCACAAAGTGAATGGGAATAGTTGGGCTGAAAATAATTTGATTGCGTGCTGGGGCAAAACGGGAAGTTTTGAGTGCTGTTCATAAATTGATTTTGCATAAAAGCCAATTAGCATAAGTCATCGAGAATTTACACAATATTTATATATATACATTCATCTATTTATGTATGTTTTTTCCGTGTTTCCATTTGCAGCTATTTCCCGCGAGGATGGCGACGATTCGACACATCATCATCATCATCATAATCATCATCGCGGCGGCGGCGCCCATCATAATCACGGTAATAAAGTTCCATTCAATGGCTACAACTCGGAGGAGTATCTGGATCGCCTCGAGCCCAATGGCAATATACCCGCTGACAAAACGAATTGCAGATATGGCGGTAAGTTAGATAGATTCACAATTTATATATGTATATATATCATAATATATCATTTATATATGTATTATATATATCATGACTAATCAGAGTTCAATTAAGAGCTTTGTGAGCAGCGAATAGACGAGGCGGCTTTTTAGTTAACTTATGAACTCATAATTGATTATATATTGTGTTTCATTATAGAGTGTTTAATTATTATCGTGCATAGAATACTAAAAAATATAATATAGAGAGCTTATACTTCTATGAAACATAAAAAATAGTTTCTGAAGAACTTATTCAACTTGTTTAAACTTTTTGGAATCTAATATTTTTGTTAGCATATACTCAAAAGATATCGTTGATATAAGGATATATGCCAGAAAAAAAAAAAAAAAAATAATGATATATGGTGTTATATTTTATATGAATATATGTATGTATGTGGTATATGCTACATATGCAAGAAAATACTACTACTAAAAGTCTAAACTAAATTTATTGAGACTGCAGAGCTACTGATCTGAATACATTTAGATTGATTATATAAGATATATAAAGCCATAGCATATTATAATACAGTTCTATCGTGTCTTAATTATTTATTTTTATTGAAACTTTAGAGTCTCAACTTCTGCAAGTTCTTCAATATGTTAAAGTTGACTTCATTTTAACCTCATAAAATATATAATACATATTTATATAGTTTAGTATATTCTTTATTTAGTATATTCCATATTAGTAAATACTAAAAGTACAGACAGCTTTAAACACACACCAAACGTAGCTTCAACTCTCAGAGCAACTCTCTCTTCATTTCGCAACATTCCCTATCAAAGAAAAATATATTGCCTACTTTTCAGCGCTCCGTTGACGAGAAACGATTTGTTCATATAAATTTTTTCACAGTTGCGCTTTGGACAACTTTAAGCGAGCTCATTCATAAAGATTTGCGCAATTTATTGCCTCACTTTGGCAATAATCTCTCATTTAAGTAGACTTGGAATAGCTCCCTTACCCCTCCCTTATCCCCCACTCACACACACACACAAAAACTAATTTAATGATACGAGAAACGCTTTGACGCTCCCCACTGACTGAGTGCCGTAATTTATGCCTTGGCTCTAACTAATATCGGGCCGCGTGTCTAATTATGGCCAAGAACATTTCCCCAGTGGCATAGATAAACCATTCCAGTCGAGCATTTCACGCGCTCAATTTATTCGACACGTTGCATACATCTGCTGTTGCCTCTGCCTCTGCTTCTTCTTTAGCGTAATTTATCAAATGTTTGTGTCATTTAGCAACGTTTTCACAATTTTTTGCTGTTGTATTTTCGTTTCATATATTTTATCTGTAATTTTCGTCATTTAAAGACGTGCTTAAATTGTTTATCATATCATAACTTGGCTGTTAATGCGCTTGAATTCCAATGTGATGCACATTAAGCTGCCTCCGTTTACCTCTCCCTCTCCCTCTCCCTCTCTCTCTGTGTCTTGAGTTCCGTCTCTCTGCTTTCTGTTGCTCCTTCATTTTATTGTCATAATTGTAAATTGCAATTTTATGCAAACAATGGCAAAATGAAGGCACAATCTCAAGTCCTGCCGGAGCCGGCACCCCCTTTGGGGTTCGTGAGTCGTTGCGACTTCAAGCTGGTTGACATTGCCGATAAGGCGACTGATGATGAGCCGTGGCACAAGGACTTGCTGCTGCTGGCGCTTGTACTTGAAGCTGTTGCTCTTGTTATTGTCCTTGTAAAGCGGGGCACTCAACTCGCAGGCCATCCTTCTCTCTCTCCCTCTCTCTCTCTCTCTTTTCACTTTTTCTTTGTCTCTGTCTACGTCTAGGCATTACGGAATCGGCTCATAAAGCAACGGAAATGAAAATATTAACAAGCAAATGCACAGCAGCAACAACATCTGCAACAACAATGAGAATTATTCATAGTTAAATGGAAACTGTGTTGCATACCTCATAGAGTAGCTATCTGTAGTCCATTGTCTCTCTCTGTCTCTCTCTCTCCCCCTCTCTCTCTCTCTTGCTGGCTCTGCACATATTGCCAAGGTCCTGGACTGGCTGACACCTTAGCCAAGTTTAATGCACCGTCGCTATATCACTTCTGGCTTTGGTCTGCTGCTACGCGACGCTAGGTGGCGCTAGCTGCCATGTTTGCTTATTGCATTTGGCGAGGTGCACTGCAAGGATTACGTGTGCTGCTGCTTGCTTTCCCGACACAGCAACTTTGGCCTGATATGAAAAGTGTGAAAGGTTGTGGCTAAAAAAACCCCAAAAAAAAAAACTTTTGCTGCATGCAAATATCAGTTCGTGCTGCACGTCACTTCAAAGCTTTTGACTTGTTTTTTGAGATACTTTAAACTTGCGAAACTTGAGTCGGTATTAGAAGTTTTTATATGTTGAATAGTGTTAAATAGATCAGTTTTTGTTTGGTTTGGAGATATGATATCATAGTGGAAGTTTGACTGAGCCAAAGTTTTCTCTTGAAACTTCAGAAATCAACTCTCAATTGTGTCTCATTGTCTCTGTTTTAACCTAGAAATGTTGGGCATATTAATTGTAAGAGCAGGTCCTATTGTACCACCCTTTAATCTCTAAATTTTTTTATTTATTCACATTAAATTCCAATAAAACAAAATTCTACTTTAGTATCTCCATCGACGCCTACAAATTTGTATTAAAGTAGCTGTAAAATCATTTTATATATGCACATAAACATATACACACATATCATTCATACTATCTCCATCGTTCACCCTTGATTAATAGTTTTTGCTTTCCCTCATTCCTAGCCAAGTTTTCAATTCAGTTCGCTGTTGTTTCTTTTTGCCATTGCGATCAATAAACTTGTTCGAGCTACCCCCGCCCGGCAAATGCTTTACAGTTCAGTTATCATAAAGTTATGTAACGCACAATAAATTACACACTCTGAAAGCACATTCACCCACTCAGAGCTCAGCCGGAGCGCGCATGGGCCAGAGCTCGGCGCTCTGGCAGCAGCCAAAAGCAATTTCAGTTTTTCATGCTTCGCTCTCGTGTTGCTGTTGTTGTTCTGATTAGATGATTTATATGTTATCTTCAGCTCGACAACGTTGTTGCTATTTAGAAGCGCGGCCGGGATATGCGCAATTTATAGTCGCAAAGATGTTGCCCTTAACAAAGATTATGGTTTATATGCGCAAATTATGCAAGGAAAACCTTTCCCAAAAAAAAAACATAATAAAATAAAAAAATTCCCTTTTCGAAGCTCTGCCATTTGTTGGGCAATTAGAAAAGTTATAAAAGAGGAGCAGAAGCGGGAAAATTGTAAATTGCTTGAAAAAACATATTTGGCAAATTTGCATAGAGCGAAACATTTGACAAACGGCCCGCCCCATAGCCGTGGCGCCACAAAATTGTAAATCATGCTCCACGATTATGCGCGACACGCAAAATTACGAGTATTTAAATCACGAGGGGTGCGTGAGGGTGTGTGTGTGCGAGTGTGTGGCAGCTGCTTGGTGTTTGCCACATGCCACATGCATCACTCGGCTGCATGGCGCTTAAAAATGCCACTTGCTGCCACGCCTTCATTGCCCAACTTTTTGGCAAGTTCCTCAACTGCCTCAGCTATGTCAGCGATCCCCCCGCAGCTCTCGCGCTGCTTCCGCAGGATTTTACACGCGCGACTAAATCCTTTTAGCGCTTTATTTGGCTTCTGATGCGCCGTTACTTGTCCTTCACTTGATGTTTATTTTGCTGTTATGGCAGGGTATAGTGATGCTGACGGGCAATATGATATGAGCCTTATATTGGCTGAGATTCTAGAGATTAATTCGAGTAGAGTTTATACCAAGAGAGTGTGTGTAGATATGGAAGATGGAGATAGCTCACTCCAGAGCTAAGCTTATTTAAATATAGAAGGCATCTGGATAGTTGGCTGAACTGGCAGATATATAGCTGACGCTGCTCTTAATTGCATTCGCAGATTATTTAAAAGATCTAAAAATTATTCTTAAATTATCTATTATTCAGCGCTAATATCAGCTGAGTTTGTTATATAAAGTATGTGAAGACATAGGACATGGATTGTCTATATCAGCTTTTTCTATGGTTAAGCTTGGTACATAGATTATATGACTATAGCAAGGATATTTAGTCATATCTAACGGAGTTTGGTATATAGAGTGTGTGTATATATGAAAGATCTACTGTATAGACTCCACAGCTGTCTTACCTTTACACCCATTAGGCTGAATCAGCTTAATCAACTCCATTTGCTGAATCTACTTAAATATTATGTCCTGAATTTCACTTCATATATTTCTAATAAACTTTAATTCAACAATAAATTTTGTTTTGTTTATAAACTCCTTTTCTTTATCTCAACCAAAGGGCCTATAAAGGGTATGCTTTGTTCGTACTTTCTCCACTTGTGTTGGCCCTTTTGGCACTTTCAGCTTCAGCGCTTCGTTTGTTTTAACATTTTGTTGTTCTGCTTTTTTTTATTTTTTATTTTCGTGCTCGCTGTCTTGCGAGGGGTGAAACTCAGTCAGAGAGTTTTGCTGTCTATTGTTTTCATAGCGTTTGCCGCTCCCCAGTCGACAGACTGTGATTTAAATTTATTGGCGAAATACTTTAAGTGATTTTTTTATGTGTACCCAGAGCAAAAGGCAGCTGGGTAAGTGGGGTAGATTGTTTTGCTTTTTGGCTGCAGAGGTTTGTGAGAGTACGAAGGTGAGAAGTAAAGCTGGAATTTGTATGTGATGTGTGTCTAAAATATAATATAATATGATATTTAATGATATAACAAGATTTTCTAATCTCTTAAATATTTTAAAATTAATTTTTGATTTTAGTTTGATTAGGCCTAACTTAAAAAAGAAAAGAAGCGCTAGTTAGTTAGGTATACAGACTTTTAGGCAACACTGTATTTATTTATTATATTTTACTGTATTTATTTATTCACTGTATTTATTATATGTCTCCTCACATTTTATATAAAGCGTTACCTTTACCTCTATCAG